AGGTCTAAGGTCAAGGTCACAAATCAAGGTCAAATGTTATACAAGGTTTGTGCTTGTCCGTGTCATAACTTCTGATCTGCTCATAATTTAACAAAACTTGATACACATTAGTACCACCCCTACATATACTCTTTAACGACACCCCAGGTCTAAGGTCAAGGTCACAAATCAAGGTCAAATGTTATACAAGGTTTGTGCTTGTCCGTGTCATAACTTCTGATCTGCTCATAATTTAACAAAACTTGATACACATTAGTACCACCGCTACATATACTCTTTAACGACACTCCAGGTCTAAGGTCAAGGTCACAAATCAAGGTCAAAGGTTATACAAGGTCTTTATTTGTCTGAGCCATTAATATAGATTGCTGTATGTAGTTTGTTTCTGTACTCTTGTTGTAGAGTGGCTGCATACTTGATTTTATTTTGTGCAGCATTTACCTAATGCACCTGCTGTAACTGGTTTTAGAACCCATTTGTATTCACTGACGTTTTAATGCAGCGTGAGAGATGACTTTTTGTTTTCAGTCCTTTGTTTAGTCTCTTGTTTTCAGTCCTTTGTTTAGTCTCTTGTTTTCAGTGTTATCTTTTTGCTGTTTGTCTTGTGTGCAGCACTTTGGTTAAAGACAGATGGGTTTGAATAAATACATTAAATTTTATTTGATTTTGCTTCTTCCACTGGTTTCTGGTAACTACTCTCTCCGGATGAGGACCCAACAAATATCTCTGATGTCTGTATCTGTTCTTGTTGTTCAAGTGGTATTAACAATGCTCTCTTTTGTAAACAGTATTCGGATTAACATGGCTGAATGCTCTCTTGCAGCGGGATCCTACGACAACAAGATAATAATGTGGGATATTGGTGGCGTGGACAGCAGTTACAATTTCAAAGTTGTGTAAGTCATTTCCAGCAAACGACTGCAAAAAGGCAGTACCTTTTGTATAAAACAAGAGTAATAAATGTTTTCTTTGGGCTTTAATTTAGTTGAGATTATTGCAGATTCAAGACTAGAAGAAAACTGTGACATAAATTGAGAGAATAATTGCGTGTAAAACAAAAATTGTTAGGAAAGCTCATAATTTTAGTCATCAAAGGTGGAAACCAGGCCACGATTCTGTATTTTCTGGTTATTAAATCGTTTTGTTTGCACTTGTGTTTTCTATAAATTTACTTTGACTTCGTGGTTTCAGTCAGCTGTTAGCGTTGGAGGTCAGCGCCACACCCCTGCACATCTGTCTCCCCCCAGCGTCTCCCAGCACACACCTTCTGACTGCCTGCGAGGACGGCCTACACTGCTATAACACACAACTTGGTACCAGTAGCACCACAAAGAGGTACAAGCTGTTCCATTTCTTTTTGCTGGTCATATACTGGTAATCACAGAGGGCAGAGTAATAATTGTCAGTTTCACGTGGATTTTGTTTAATCAAATGCAGCAGCGGTAAGAGTTTCTTTGTTTTAAGACCTACTGATGGTGGTTTTAATCTGAAAACTGATCAGTAACAATCACTGTTGTTTCCTCAGCAGGTCCAAAGAAGCAGAGGTAACCTTTCCCATTTATAAGGAGGATAAAAACTATGAATACCACACCGTCGACGGTCTGAGTTTTCTTACCGATGACATAGTGGGTAAGTGAAGTTTTCGTTTACTGCAGTCTGGCTCTCCTGCAAGTCTCGTAAAAATAAAAGAATTGGAAACGGTGAGTCAGAAAAGATGCATTTGGCGCCTTTAGCCACTCCAGAGTTTGTCATCATGGCCAATAGTTTGGCACGTCTGAATCGGAAGTAGTTTAGGAAGGTGTCACATGATGGCGCTGTAGCAAAGTTACCGTCACTGAAGTCTTGATTTCCATCGCACTACACTGATTTTCACTTGTTGTAAATCTGCTTAAATATGACTAATTTTGAAACCTTTGCATAATTTGACATGAAGTCGGTTTAAATTTTTGGGTCTCCGGTTCACCATAGAGACGAGTGGTTCTGCTCTCTTCTTCTTTCCCTCTCTCCCCTGCTGCCTTTTCCTGTTAGCCGCTAAGGTCTACATGCACAGTTCCATTTACCTGTGGAGCTGGAGCAGGACCAAATGTCAGCGGCCCGACAGGAAGAGCAAGGCAGTGTGTGCTGTGGTTCTGGCTGAGCTGCAGTGGGCCAACACCGAGGTTCCTTACCTGGCTCTCAACACCTGCCTCGGTAAGCCCCACGTTGTCCGATCGTTCGCCCTAAGTTTAGGGTTTTCTTACCCGTAAATAAAAATGCTTTTTGATGTTTTTGCAGTTTCTTCAACACAGATCAATAAATACGGCATGCACATATTTATTCCGAGCCTCGGGGATACTTTTGTGTGATTTTCACGCCTGGGCTTTTGTTTTGCAGCTCCTCTCAGTCTCAGATTAGATAAAAAGCATCCGTTCATTACCATTTCCAAGTTTCTTCACAAATGTTCCCTCAAAAGTTCAAGTTTGTGTTTTGACTGGGCCTCTTCAACATCTTGTCCTGAAAACGTTTTGTTGTTGCGTCAGTTCTGTGTTAGCATTTATTATTTTTCTGTGCATAATTGGGCTACTTCTGCATATTTTCAGCTAGTCAGGTATCAAGACGTTCAGCTCGTTCAGAACATTACAGCTATGACTTTTAGTTTTTGTAGTGTTTATACGTTTAAAATGTTGGACTATTGTACTTTTCTTCCTCGTTTATCGGGAGATCCATAGTACCCTGAATCCCCACGATGTGAAAAACTGCGAACTAAGAATAGTAGTACAAGTATCAAGTAGTCGTTTATCTTATTTAATTTTTTAAGGTGTTTTAAACCTTTCCCACACTCTTGCAATATTCTAAACAATGTTTCTAAACTAAACGCTCTAAAAGAACACAGAATGTCATTTCCTTATCTGCCTCCGCTGCTCTCAGCCACCTGCAGGCGTTCTCGGCCACGCCCACTTCTCAGCTCTGCACGGAGAGCAGCTGATCAGCTGCAGCAGGAAGCTTATCCTGCAGCATGGGCTGCACAAAGGTGCAGCGAGTGCTAGATAATTAAAAATATATATATTTTAAATAAAAATTCCATGCTGATCGTGCGGTTCAATCCATCAATCAGCCAATTGTGTATTGTCCAATCTTATTTTGAAAAACCAAGATGGAGCGAGTCCTCGATAAACGAATTGCGAAGTAGCGAGGGACTACTGTACGTTGAACTTTCCTCAGATTCTTCAGTAACTTTGTGCTCTTTGAATTCTGTTTCGGCTCTATTTGTTTTCTTACGGTTGTTTTGTCTCCTACAAAGAACCGTACATACCATACCAACTTCTTTTGATTCCCTGTGGATTCATCCTGATTGTGTTTCGTCTCTTTATGCATTTTTTTTTCCTCTTACACGTTCTCAGTTTTATGTGTCCATACTCCTTTTGATCTATTTATACATTATTTTTGCTCCTCGTCCTTTCCTGTCTTTTATGTCTGTGCTTTTTCCTTATTTTTAAATGTTTTCTTTAATCCATCTTTCTGCTATTTGTGTCTTCTTAAGAAAAAAAAAAATCAAAATGTCTTCTTTTGAAAATATTTTAGCTAACACGGAAGGTCAAACTATTCGTCTTATATTTACCTACGTCAGCAAAGTCACTCGGCACTCGCGCTCCACTGGTTTCTTTGCTTACTGTTTAGGACCAGATGATGAGCGGTGTTGGGTGGTTGCTAGGCAACGGTGTTCCAAGCAAAAAGCCTAACTGCTGCTTTATCCTGCGTTTGTCCTCTTTAGGACGGGACTATGTAGCGTGTGGTGATGAAAAAGGCAGAATATGGACGTATCACGTCAACGACTTCCAGAAACACAGTTCTGGGAAACCCATTCTGCCCACTGAGGTATTTATTTCTCCTAAATATTTATTATTTTTTGTCTTCTTTCTTTAAAGTTCAGCCTATTTAAAAGCCACACACATTTTTCCTGGCTTGTGTAATTTTACCTGCAGCTTCCTGTAACATTACATCGTTTCGGTTAATTGTGAAAATCATTGTGGTTTACTGAAAAGCAGCCAGATGGTGGAAGTAGCAACTCTGTAAACAGCCAAGATGTAAACAAACCTCCACATGAGCCAAACGGTAAACAGTTAAATCCACTGCAAACATCCGATGCATCTTTATACTGTTGTTTTTGTCTCCGCTGCGTGTTCCAGTTTCTTGTGTAACTTAGGGATGTTTACTGGCATTTTAGGTAGCTCACATTTAGTTTGACTTCCAATTAGGGCTGGGCGATGCATCGAATATACTCGATGTATCACGGGTTTTTCAATTTACGATGGCTAAAATGGCTCTACCGCAACCATCGAGTATAAACTACTATAAGCCTCGAGGACTCATTTACAAGAGAGACCTGATTTCAACAAAGAATGATCGACAACAATAGACAATTATAAAAGAGACATACAGATTTTTTTTATCAAATTAAAATAAGATGGCAAAAACAGCTAGATTATAAGGCGAATGTAGAAAACTAAAATCAGGAACATGTCTGCGTTGGTCCTTGCCAGTAATCCAGCAGAAAAGCTGTTTGTTATCACATGTACCTGTGTGACAACTGGGACAAAGCTTTGACTCTTAAATATATTTTATTACTTTATGGAAAGAAAAAAAAAATATCGAGATATATATTGTATATCACGATTTATCTTAAAATATCGAGATATTAATTTTGGTCCATATCGCCCAGTCAAAGTGTGAAAATAAAAATCAGGTTATTTTGTCATATTTCTTCAAGGGAACAATTGGAACATGTTGTTTTGAATCTTCACAGTGCAGCACCCTCAGAAAGCATTAGTAATAAACTGAACTTACTGATCATATACACAGCTTAGGGAGCCAGTTTGTCTTGTTCTAGTATTATATTTCGGGTTAAGTAAAAATTTCAACATCAAACTTATAAATGTCAACATTTATGATTTCAGGTTGAGGTTCAAAAAGTTTGGCACCGAAGATATTTCACTCGTTTCCGATCATCGTCTCTTCCTTTAACATGAATAAATCAGTGAAACGTCACCCTTGACATATTTGAATTGACTTTTATATTTGTTTTGTCAGGTGTTGGAGTGGCCGTCCCCAGTGAGGAAGGGCCTCGGTCAGATTGAGGGTCCGTCCATCAACAGTGTGGCAATGGACCCGGAGCTTCACTACCTGGTTGCCTTAAGCGATAAAAACATGGTGATCATATGGAAGAGAGAAGAGTCCTGAAGAATATAGACTGTACGTTCTAATGAATATAATGACAGTTTTCAGGTACTCAAAACAAAAGTTTTTGACTTTTCAGAAGAGTTACCAAAGTTTAGTATTTTTTTAAGGTTTTTTTTTAAGAATTGGGTGTTGCAAATGTGAAGGGACATTTCCTAATTCACATTTTGGATGACACATCAGTTGTAATGCAAACATTCTACTGGGTGTAACAATCCTGTAGCTTTTTTATTTTCTTACCCGTTGGCAATTTATTTGATGGAAAACATATTTTATGATATTACCACTCTGATGCTCATCATCATGGGTTAGAGAAATACCACAAAACATTGTTTTAAAATGTTATTTTTGTACATAAACGTGAACTGTGTAGATGTTAACATGAATCTACTTTCTTTCGAAAAGTTACCATTAAATTGTGGTAAAGTTTGATATAAAGAAACATCCATTATCCCTGAGTGATGCATTTATTTTACATTTACCGAAAGGGTTGCTACAATTGTTCTGTGGACAGGAAAATGAAGTTATGAGTTCTTTGTGCCGCTTCATTACTTTAGTTCTGCACCATTATCAAATATTGTACTCTTAAATAAAAAGGTGCTAACTGTCCTTACGAAAACAACTTGTTCTAGAAGTGCTGACAGTGGTTTTCATTTTGCTTACACAACTTTTAAAATGGTGACACAAAGCTGCTGAGAATGGTTTCGCCCAACGTCAGTCGTTCACTTATTAAAAGAACCCAGTTAAATGGATGATGAGCATGTTTTGTATTACTCTGCTTTAATTAACACATCTTGAATCAGTGTCCTGTAGGATGAGTAACAGACAGCTGTTAGCGTTAGGTAATGTGAAGGTAATGGCGTAATGCATAAAGATGGGTTTGAAAACCAGTTTTGTGCAAAAGGCAGCTCAAAAAATTAATGCAGTCTGTTGGAGATTAATATTTCTCTTCGAAAAGTATGTGAATGCGTTTTGATTCAAGCGTGTGTATTTTGTGACGCTTAAAGAATGGATTTTAAATTACCGTAATAATTTAGCAACTATAGCTTGTATGATAATGACTGTTTGTAATACTAAGATACTGTTTTAAAAAAAATGTTTACACAATAGTGAATAAAACATTTTGTCCATGCCTTAAACTTGTCTGAAGTTTCTGCGGCTTTCCTTAAAATAAAACTTGATTTGAAGTGAATAGTATGTTTGAGACAAAACAAACAGAAAAAGGTAATCTCAGATCAGAATCATCATAAAACTTCGATCGAAACTATTTTTGAAAATTAGAGTGTTAAAATATAACAAGATAATAAAATAAGTGAGACAATCAATTTCTCCTTTAGTGTGACCCGAGTCATTTACATGCTGCTTAAATATTTAGGCATAAAAATAGGTTTTAAACCATATTTTGCAACTGGATGTTTATACCGCGTTCATTTTCTTGGAGGGTCAAAAGAGCCGGGAATGTTTCACCCAGCTCCATACGCGTGTTGGTAAACCAAAGCTGAGGCAGATACATTGTGGGCACAAGTAGGCAACAAAATAACATGCATGGCCTGGAATAGTTTTAAAATAGAATCAGCTTCATAGTTATTGCATCAAGAGAACAACAAAATTCACACAAATGGGCTGCAAATGTGCAAAAACTGGTTTAAACCACTGAGGTCACTGAGACTGCAAAAATACACCTATTTTCTCACAATTTTGAGATGCAATCTTGTGAGAGACTAGCTTTAAACCACTCAACTAAAAGTGCAAAACAATTACAGAAAAAAAATTATTTGAAATACATTGTAAAACATTTGAGTTTTAATTTTGTATGGAATTGACAATTCCATTGCTGCAGGGAGGCAGATGTCCATGCAGTTGACAAGGGCAGAATGTGTTGAGAAGGGGGTGTGGATTCGGCTTGGCTCCGCCTCTCGCTGAACATGATTGGCTCAGCGCTTGTGACGTTTGCTCAGATCTTAGCTGACTGGCCAATAAGCACAAAGGCCTTTCTGTACCCTCTCGTCTCTCTAGCACTCAGTGCCTTTGTGCACTAGGTCGAGACGACGAACCCAATGGCCTCATAACGGCTATAGATTTTTCGTGTTTCTACGAGAACAGGGCAGCCCTGTTCACGCCCACTCCTCCGCTCCAAATGCGTCCGGGACTGACAAATATAGCGGTACAGATGCTGAGCGGTGTCACCATCAGGGCCAGGCCGAGGCTCCGTAGCCTCTTACTGGCCCCCGCAACCAAAACATTACCGCAGATGTCAGGCACCGGGAACCACAGATTTCGGTCCACATCATCGGCGCAGGGATTTTCGGAGCTAGCAAGAGAGCGCTCGAAGACTGTCACTTCGTTTTATAACCAGTCTGCAATAGACGTGTCTGCGGAAAAGGTAAGAAGTTGATTTTTATGCCGGTGTCGTGTCCCCCCAACCCCCCCAAGAAGATGTGAATGCATCCGTGGCTAGGAGGGAGCGAGCTAGCTCGATAGCAAAACTAGCGGTTAGCACAGTTGGTGTTGCGTTCAGGGACTGAGAAATTGCAGTAAATTTGTATGACGTCTAGGCTATCGATTGATGTTGATCGATTAAGACCAACCTAACAGGGTTATGTACAGTTCCTAAACAGAATAAGAAGTTGAGTAGTTGCTAAACAAAATAAGAAGAACGAGTCTCGTCTTCTTTTCCCATGTAAGGTAAATATGTTACGAACATCGCAACTCTGTTGGTTAAAGTGTTAAAATATATTTAGAATTTTCCTAATTACAAAAAAATGAAAATGGGGCAAGCAGATACACTCAGGGCTGTTCTTGTTTCCATTACACCCTTTAGGACGTTGTATTCATAATTGGTATATACACTTTATATGTAAGTCGCGGGGGTGTTCAAATGTCCCAAGTTGTCCTCAAATCCCTGAAGGCAACGTAGGAAGAACAAAATGTTTGGCTCGCGGAAATTAAACAAATAAATAAATAAATAAATGTACAACAACAGCGGTTCGTTATAACAACTACCAACAATTTAAGAAAAGTGACGATGTTATTTGAGCAACAACAGAATTTCCCAATACGAGCTAAACTTTCAACAATAGAGAAATTAATCATAGGAAGTGACTACTTAAGACAGCATGTCTTCTGGAAGGTCTGGCTCATTTTGGTTGAAATAAAAAAAGATGCACTACTGATTGTATAATTGCTTACAGACATTTTGTCATAAAGGAGTAGCCCTCTTATAGCAATCTGATTTAAAGTTATTTCAAATAAGGAAATCAAACTTAAAAAATGGTTATCATGAACTTCATCATAAAAAAAAAAAAATTACTCATGTAATTGTCTAGATCTACTGAATGTAATTCTGAAATGCAGACCCACACGCAACGTAAACAAAGAACTTGCTGAATGTATGGCCACCATGTACTTGACCTGCATTAGCATGCCCATAGTCTGTAGGTAAACAAATATGGCAGATTAGGGCAATCAGTAGGAACGAATCTGCTGCTAAATACAAAAAGAAAGCTTAGGACAATGTTGAAGAATAATGGAGAACAAGCAGGTTGTTTGAGTGCCATAAAGACGGAGCTCAGTTTTTGCAAAACATTTGTTAGACCGGTAAGTTTAATGTTTGACCTATTTTTAGTCACCTTGGCCTTTTTCACAGGTAATTTAAATTGTGTGGTAGCTGGTTGCAAATTTTGCTTACAATTATTTTATGAGAAAATACTGTATGGATTGTTTATTATTGTACAATTTTATTTTTTGTCCATCTTCTTGACGCTTTCATCAAAGACCTTTTTAACTTTGTCCACAAAATTTTCATTCCTCACAGGGTTCTTATTGGGAAAAGGCAAATGATTTGTACCTCCAGGAACTTGGATGACTCCGCTTGTAGCACGATTACCAAATGACTTTAGTTTAAAATGTTTTGAAATTTGTCAAGGTTCTTTGTCATTCGCAGTTAAGTTTCATTCATTTAGTGTCATTCCGTTTAGTTATACAAATTTAATACCATCCTTCTGCAATATTTGTTGTTAAAAAAAAGTGGTGAATAAGAACTAGACGTAGCATCAAATATGATAGAACACACACGTATATGAATATTTAAATCTGGAAGGTTAAATTGTGCTACATGTACCCAACCTTGTAAGTCATTCGTGTTTCCTAGCCTCACCATAAATTGCTCTGAGGCTGCTGTGCAATGGACCTGGAAGAATTAGGTCAAATATTTATCTTGCCAGTTACTGCTTGTACTTGCAGCTTTTATACAGATGGACGCCTCCCCCTGTTCTGTTCTTGTCTGAGGCTTTGCTCAACTTCATATTAGGACAAACAAAGCTACATCTCATAAAAGGAATGGTTGTTTGTCTTACGTGCACATGCTAAAGTTCATTTGTTGTTTGTGCTGGGATGAAATCCAATCTCATGGTTTGGTAAATCACCTGCAGGCGTGGTCTGACTGGTCCAATCTGGTCGGTTTTCTTTCCTTGTCAAGATGAGACGCATTCAGTTACACATTCAATGTTAATGAATTGTCATAAAAAATATAAACTTTTAAAACTAGAACCAACCATAAGAAATGTAATTGACCTTAGCTATAATTGAAAGTCATTCTGGTTATATGAACTGTTAACGCGCTGTTGTTGAAGGATGTTGTTGACCATCATGACATGTCTAATGGTCTGTGTTGCAATCATGTTACATAAATGGGTTTTCTTGGCGTCGTGGTGTTTTTCCAAATATGTAATTTTATCCAGACCGTTGCTGCAGTGAGCTTCCTTAGACTTGTCAGATTTAGCTCCCTTAATACTAATTGAAATTTAAAATATGCTTATATAAATTCTAAAATAATCTGTAATGTATTTTTATTTTATTGGTACTTTTTTTATAGTAAATTCCAGAAATACGTTATATATAAAGTTTATTTGTTTGACTAGGCCTGTCACGATAACAAATTTTGCTGGGCGATTAATTGTCTCAGAAATTATTGCGATAAACAATAATATTGTTTGAAATTTGACAATAATTTAAGAAGAAATGTTTATTTGCTTTTGCATGTAGTACCTTTTTTGACCACTGGATGGCAGCATAAGTCTGTTTGAACCAAAGGATGGATAGTGAGGGAACGAGCAGCGTGTCTCTAAGAAAAATGGGATAGAGACCCCTTGACATGATATGGGCTGTCTCTCTTGGGTTCTCAAAATGGCGGACCCTCTGTGTGGTTTGAGCTCTTCAGCATAGCATTTTTCACACAAAGCTTTTAATTAAAAAAAAAAAAATCAGTAAACAAGTTCTCAGCTTCTTTTTGCTGAGAAAAACAACTTTTTACACGACGGCACAGGTTTCAACAATGAGTTTTAGAGCTTTGACAAGACGGAGTTTTTTTCCTGAGGTTGGCCTGTTAGCTTAGCTTGTAGCTTAGCTTCTCAGCTTAGCTGCTTTTAACGACCCAAAAGCACGATGCTGGACGGTTAAACAGATTTTAAAGAGAAAGGGAAGTGAAGAGCACCGGAGTTGAGCCTTTTTTCATCCAGTGTCTTCAGTAGAAAGAGAGACACGAAGAAACGATAAAGCCGATAAATGAAAATGAGGCTGATGATTTTCTTTTATCATGCGATTAATTGATTTATTGTTTATCACAACAGGCCTATGTTTGACTTGTGTTTAAACATTCAACTTCTAGTACCCTTTTTTGTTTTGTTTAATAAACTTGAATATACTTGGACATAATAATTTAAATAATTCAGGTCTCTCTTGTAAATGAGTCCCTGAGGCTCTGTGGGATTACCCTGTATAAACAAAGGTTGAATGAAAAAAATAAAAATAATCAAAACGTTTTTTTGAGACCTTCTAACAAGGTTAAGTCGGGTCATCTGGACTTTTCTCCCTGTGTTATTGAGCATGCATCAGGACATTTTTTAGACATTGCTCTTTGTATCATGTTTTTAATAATTTGTCAGGCTTTAATGATCGCCCAGCATCCTTAACTTGCAGTTGTGATCATGTTTATGACTTTGCATTTTTGTTTGCGTCCCCAGGCTTCAGTGCGACTAACCTTAGCAACCCTCCTGTATTCTGGGAAATCTCCTGACGGACACCACATCCTGGTAAACATTTTCCCCATACGGAGTTCTGCAGAGTGAATGTTAAAACAACCTGGCTGCAGGGACTCTACTTAGGTCAATCTCACTCTGTATTATTTCTGTGTGTGTGTAATCTCAGAGCAGTGGCAAGTACCTTCACAAAGAGCTGCCTGTGCGAATCGCCCACCGCATCAAGGGCTTCCGCAGTTTACCCTTCATCATCGGTTGCAACCCCACTATTCTGCAAGTGGTAAGGACAACAATCCTTCAGCATTCTGAGATAGTCTGGATTAACAGAATGTGGAGTTATATGTGAAACGCATCGTTGCAGCTGATGCTATAATGGAAAAATGAATGAACTTTGAATAACAGTAGAGGTTTTTCGATTCATAGTTTTCCAAAAACTTGGAAATAAAGTCAAATTTAACTTGTTTACTAATAAATAATACTGAAAATTATATTTAAAATAACTTGAATACACATTTAACCAACTCTTTTAACTCTGTGCCAACAAATGATGTTTTAGTGCCGCTTGCATAGAGAGTAATAGAATTTCTGGCTGTGTTGCAAACGTTTCTCAAAAGTCTTGTTGAAAAGAGTGGAAGTTGGTGAGTCCATGTGGGTGCAACGTTTCTGCTCCTTCTGATAAGAGCTGAGGACAATACCTGCAAAATCAGCACATTTAGTTGGCCTGGGAAAGAATGTCAGCTGTACTTTTCTCACTGCAAACAAAAGCCTAATGCTCGTGAGGATTAGTTGATTATTTTGTCCAGAAATCCTCCTGCTCCACTGCTTTTGATCCCACTAGGGAGGATTGGGTGTCATTCAAGAGAGAGAACAAGGGTGGTCAATCCCAAGCTCCTGGGTTTACTTGGACAAGTTCCTGAATTGATCTAATTTGTGAGCTTTTCATGGTGGCTTGTTTTCGATGTGTGTGAACAAGTTCACACACATTTGAGGATCTGTGGTTCATGACTCAAATCACGATTCAGCCTTGTAGCTCTTGAAGTTTAGGTGTTGGGCCATTTTCATGTGTGTAGTTAGAAAAACAGTTCTTGGCAAATTACGCCACTATTACATCTGACTGTGCTGGCTGAGTCTCACAGTCAGTACAATCCCACTGATGGTCTTTTTCTTTTAATTTTATACTGAAACTCATGTGACTGGCTTTAAGTTGCATTCAGGCAACTCTTCCTGTTTTAACTTATCAAATCATGAGCTGCACAAAACTGTGTGTTACAGGACTTTAACAAAGTTATAGCTTTATTGGCAAACACGTTTCCCACAGTGCATGACCAAGAGGCTAGTCATGGGAGTAGACTCAGGCAGCGGTTAAGCAGTGAGCACGCTACACTGCTGGTGATAATCCAGTGTAATTTAAGGAAGGACACATTGTTGAAGGAAAAAAGCTATATTATTACCCAGGGTTGTAATGGGACACCTAAGTCACAGTTTGGTATGAACTCGGTAGGCTTTCTCAACTGTGAACTTTACTATAAAATAAAAGTGTTACACTTTTACAAAATAAAAGTGTATTTTTTTCATATGACCTGAACTGTAAAGTGTCCTACAGGTTGTGTATCAAACAAAAAGTTTGGTAGCTGGAAGCTAAAAGTTGCAAAAAGCTAACTGAAAGCCAAAAGTAGCAGAATGCTATTTAAAAGTAGTAAAATATATTGAGCTAAAAGCAACACAGGGTTAGCAAGAGGCTAGTTAAAAGCTAAAAGTAGCAAACGGCTAGCTAAAAGTAACATAAGCTAAAAACTAAAGTATAAGAAAAAAAAATAGGTTATGTAAAAGCAGACTTTAAAGATAATGTGTTTGAAGGAATTAAGGAGGTTTCAGTCTTATTTTTATGGGGAGATATTTGTAAGTAAAGTAAAATATTTTGAAAAGTATAAAAGTTAAATAATAGTGAATGCTGACTCAGCATTCATACAATAAAGTGTGACCCCGTTCCACTGAACTTCCCAGTGGGCCAAGTGCAATGTGAGAAAATGAAACTGGATATGAAGAAACGCTGAATCAAAGCACAAAGTTTTCCACCGAACTTTTCAAGGGGATGCTTATTTTGTGAAACTGCTTGCCATACATGCACCACTTACTCTCGTGACATGCCTTCATCGTCTGAGAATCAGATAGTAAGATAAAATTCCAGACACAAGTTCTAACATGCTCTAACCTCCCATCAATTTATACAATCTTGCAATAATCCCAGTTGCTTTGGGCTGGTCATTTTCGCCGCATGTCAGATAAAGTACTCTCTAAACAACGGTTGTACTGGAAACTGGCATCAGGCAAAAGATCCATTGGAGGTAAGCATAAGCGCTACAAGGACTGCCTTAAGGCATGGCTGAAGAGATTTTCCATCAACACAAACATGGGGAAGCCTAGCGCAGCATTGACCAGTGTGCCGTTCAGCTACATACAAGTACGCAGAAGATGCTGAGTCAGCACAGCTTATTGCATCTAGAAGTAAACACGAAAGTGCAAAGCGAGGGCAGCGACTACCTTAGAAGACACCGACCATATGGGTTCGACATGTCGGAGGCTCTTTTGTCCCCAGATTAGTCTTCTCCAGACACAAACCCAGACCATCTACAAAACCCTGAAGGTCACTGATCATCTTTGCGATGTGATGAACAAACCTGACACTCTCTTGCACCCGTTTGTGATCACTGGTTAGCAGAGATTCAACACAGTTTTTTGTGTTTTTAACCAAACATTCATGTTTTTAAGATTCTGTGTGTTTTTCTGAACCAGCCATTCATTCTTTGTTTGACGTAAAGTGTTAAAGTAGTACATTCCTTTTGCTTTTTTTCTGTAGTGGTCGTTAGTTTTTTTTTTTTATTCAACCTTTATTTCTACAGGTTAATCCCATTGAGCCTCAGGGACTCGCTTACAAGAGAGACCTGATTTTAGCAAAGAGTGATAAAAGGAAAAGTAGCAATAAAACAGCTAGATTGTAAGGCGGTGTAGGAAACTAAAAAGAGGAACATGTCTGCATTGGTTTTTCCTTGAACTTAACAGATGTTTGAAGCCACTTAGAGAGGTCAAGGTCGAGAGCTTCAGATCTTTTTGCAAAATGTTCCAGGAAACGGGAGCGGAGTAGGAGAAGGACCTTTTGCCTAGTTCAGTCTTCATTGAGGGAACACTGCAGGTAATAATGTCCTGAGAGCGCACACTGTAGCTGCACTCACGCAGAGACATGTAGGAGGAGATGTATGAAGGCAGCAGACCAAGAAGTGATTTAAAGATGAAAATGAACCAGTGGGAGAGTCTGTGTGACGTTAATGATGACCATTAGTTAGTAAAATACAATTAACTATGGTGTGCGCCTGCTTCTAGATGGGAGCGGTGGTCACCTGTGGCTAACGTTGTTTAGCTTCTTCTTCACTACAGACTCGTGTTCGGGCTGCTGTTTAGTTTACTGTATTATTTAACATTATTAGAGTTTAGCATGTCTCTTAGATTGCTTAGCGTTTGTTTAACATATAGCTTAGTGTCTTAGATCTTTGTATACTGTTTCTTTTTAAACTTTCTATTTTTGCTATTTTTGGGTGTAACTGGGACCTTGGGTACACAATTTTGTTCCACCTCATGTACCGCACGTGATGTGAATGACGATCAAGACACTTGAACTTCTTGCACCGTCCTAAATGTCTGTACCGAACTGTCACAGTACTAATACACCCCATTACCATTATTGTTAACCTGTTTAGAAAGAAAGAGAGCTCGTAAAGGTGGGCCGTTCTCTTTGCTCATTAGAAATGCACAACTCCAGTGTCAGTGCTGGCATATCGCAGTCACACTGTTTTTGAGAAGCACGCACATCCACTCCTGCATATCAAATGAACTGGCAGCAGACGTATCGATCAGTGATTGACTTGACCTACCGTAACAGTTTAAGACGCAAATATGTAAATGTAACAATGTAAAAAAACCAACAACTTATTTTTGATTGGGATATTGTTTAACCTCCGCATTAAAAACAGTTGCCAGGATTGCTTTCTTCCACCTACGTAACATCACTAAGATCAGAGGCATCTTGTCCAACAATGATGCAGAAAAACTGGTCCATGCATTTATCACAGCTAAACTGGACTATTGCAATTGTTTATTATCTGGATGCTCAACAAATTCTTTTAAAAGTCTTTAGCTGATCCAAAATGCAGCTGCTAGAGTTTTATGCTGGTAGGAGAGAACATATTATTGTCAAAGTCAGCTTATAGTTCAAAATCTTACTTTTAACATACAAAGCTCTCAACAACCCTTATATTACAGATCTTATTGTTGCATATTTTCCTAACAGAGCACTTCTCTTGCAGACTGCAGGTTTACTTGTGGTTCCTAGAGTTTCCAAAAGCAGAATGGGAGGAAGATCTTTCAGTTATCAGGCTCCTCTCTCGTGGAACAAACTTCCAGTTTCTGTCTGTGAGGCTGACACATGGTCCAGTTTTAAGACTGGGCTTAAGACGTCCCTTTTTGATAACTCCTGTAATTGGGGTCATCTTGGGTTTCCTGAACTATCCTTTAGTTATGCTGCTATAGGCTTAGGCTGCTGAAGGACAAATTGACCACATTTCCTCACTCTGCTGTTGTCTTTACCTGCTCTACTCTACCTGTTTGTATTTATTTCTATCCTCGACGTGTGTTTTTTGTCTTTCCGCCTATAGAAAGTTCACCTGGACCTGCCATTCTGTGTTTGTTTCTTCTTCCTGTCGTCTCAAACCTCAGCCGGTCAAAGCAGATGGTAGCACGTCCTGAGCCTGGTTCTGCTGGAGGGCTCTTCCTGTTAAAAGGGAGTTTTTCCTTTCCACTGTCGCCTTTGTGCTCAGGATGGGAGACAGTGACGAAGGATAGATAATTCTAGTAATTGGCTTATTTATGTATGTGAATGTTTCTGTACGGTGCCCTGAGATGACCTCTGTTGTGACTTGGCGCCATAAAAATAAACAGGATACAAATATTAGTCATTTTCAAGTATTTGCCTATATAACGTTAATGGTTTTAACATGCTGAATGTCATATAGGTGACATCTATTAATGCGAATTCTCTTGTTCTTTAGTTTTCATGTAGTGAACCTGGTTATGTAGCTAACGTCAGCGTTTCTGTCCAGCTGTATGTTTTCGTCACTTTTCAGAAGTTCTGTTTCTTCAGAAGAAGAGCAACAACAACATTTGCTCCCTGGCAAGTCAGTGGGAACACATTGTTCTCGTTTATAATCCCTCTAAATCACTTCGTACGGATGTTGGCACACGTACAAACGGATATTATAAAAGCAGTGACTTGAACTTGTAACAGAAATAGTTTGTTTATGACACATTAGCTGAGTCTGCATCTCTCTCAGCCGGTTTCTGCCTGTAAGCTTCTCAACTTCTGTTTTGTTGCGGATGAACTTTCACCCAGATTCTTCCTCCCGGTGTCCTACAGCTTTCTGTGATTGTGTAAAACAGAACTCCCTTTGTAAGCCACCTGTTGAAATGTAGGCTGTATTGATAAACGTGACATAAGGTTTATTGCAGAATGTTATTCCGTGTTGTGCGCAGAAGAAATTGTGCCCTGATGTAACCTGAAATGCTCCCTAGCCACATGAGAGCTTGTTGGCAACGCTCTGGGGCCTATAGAAGGCCCTGTGCCGGTTTGTGTGATGCCGTCAGCTTGAACAGATTGTTCCAGAGAAACATCTCATCTAAAACCTTTTTGTCTGTTTGTTGTTGTGTCTCCTGCAGCATGAATTATACATCAGAGCCTACCACATGCTGAGTGACTTTCCCCAGGTGAGTGTTTCATACAAACAGGAAATACCGCACAGACGCGCTCAGACAGACACGCAGACTCGGGGTAACGAGTTCAATTTCAGCATTTCTCAGGGAGGAGTTTGATTCGGAGCAAAACAGGAAGAGCGAACATTTACTGGTAAACCTCTGACTGGCCTGCAAGTAGCAGCTGTACGATTGGTCGAACAGCTCTGCTCCGATGTAAACACTTTAAAAACAATGTGTTTACAGATTACTTGTCCTTTGCTTCTTTTGTCACGCACGTTTCAGAACATCTAACAAATGTCAGTATCAGACAAAGATACAACATGCTGTTTTTAAACTAAGATTTCATTTATCAATGGCAAACAAAAAAAATCTTATGTTAAACGTAATAACTGGTTGTGCCATTCTCGGAGGAGGAATCGTCGTCCTGCTGCAGAACTGAACGGTGCTGAGCTGAGGTCACAGATTGATTGATGTTGTTTGGTAGAGAGCAGAAGTCATGGTTCCGTTAGTTCTGGCAGGTCCTAAAGGAGCAAAGCAGTCCCAGACCATCACACTACCACCACTGTTTTTAACTGTACGATGTTATTTTCATGAAATGCAGTGTTGTCAGTTTACGCCAGATGTAACGGGATGCAGACCTTCCAAAAAGTTCCACTTTTGTCTCGTCAGTCCACAGATTCCATCCATTATCTTTACCTACTTCTTCCTTTTCGCGTTTCGGTGATCAATGCGCAATAGGCGGGGGACACCTCGGACAGGTCTCCAGTCCATCACAGGGACACGTGGAGACAAACAACCATGCACACTCTCACGCACACCTACTTATCAATCAGCCTAACATGCATGTTTTTGGTCTATGGGAGGAAACCGGAGTACCCAGAGAAAACTCCCTGGTGCATAGAGGGAACATGCAAACTCCACCCAGAAAGACCCCCAGCTGGGATTTGATCTGGCAACCTTGTTGCCGAGAGGCAGCAGCTCCATCGACTGTGTCGCCTGCCCATTTTCCCAGAAGTCTAAATGTTCATCAGGATGTTATTTTTTTATTTTTTTTTTAAATTAAACATGAGAGAGATCTTTACAGTGATCTCCTACAAAGGACGTTTTTCTTTTTTTCTTATTGTGGACTCATGAACGCTGGTCCAAAAAGCTGATCACTCGTGGGACGGTTGACCTCTGTGCTACGTGCTCTCCATTTGTAGATAACGGTCCCATTTAAGGGATTTCTTGATTCAATAGATCTGGCAGTAATGTGTGACAAGTGAAATTGAAGTTTTCTAAAAACTGGTTAATAACTTGAGTTATGATTTCACTAAAAAGGCGCTTGGTTTTTCACATGGGAACTTTAGTTTGAATATGTTTTCTCTCTTAAAATAAAATATTCATTCAAGTTCATATTTTTTGTATTTATTTATTTTTGTCTGATGTTACCATTTGTTTGATCATCTGAAACATGCAAATGTGACAAAAAGGCAGAAAAAGGGTGAATACTTTTTTTTACAACACAGTATATACAAAATGTGAAGAGATATTTGGACTTATAAAAAATGTGTTTTCAGAAAAGAAAATTTATCATCATGTAGATCATCATAATGGTTTTTGTTCTCTGTGCAAATAAACAATTTGATGCAGAAATGAAACAAATATTTGTACATTTTGGTCTTTGAACATTTTCTTATCCGTTTAAGTAATTTTCCTAAAGACCAATAAACATGATTTTTTTAAAATATTTTTTTATCGTGCTCTTAATAATTTACAAATTCCTAAAAGAAGTGAGGAAACATGGTTCAGCTGTTTGTAAAATCCTTTTCATTTACTTTTATCTGCATAAAAGGAGTCACTGATACGGGATCATTAATTTAATAACGGTAAATACTCGACAAGTCTAGTTCAGTTGTTTCTACTTCTTTATGTTTTTATATTTCCTGATCTGTCACTGGATTTACTTTTGACTTTAAAAAATCATTTCTTTTCTATTTAACAAATGTTTTCATCTCAACTGTGAAAGTAACAGGGCAAAAACAAAATTATAGCTACTAGAATAAACTGTGGACGAATATTTTGAAGATTTTTGCGACACAAACAAGTACATTTATCAGGGTGACGTGTAAACACAGAGGAAGAGTTCAGTTTGTATCACATTTAAACGGTAAGCAACATGGTGACACTGTTGATGAAAAACACACTGCTCAGGGTCTCCAGTCGGTTGAGACGTTTGTGTGTTTGGACAGATCGAGGACCAGGAAGCGGAGGCTCGTTTCTGTAAACTGGTGCAGCAGCTGCTGGATGACCACAAAGATGTGGTCACCATGCTGGCCCAGGGCTTCAGGGAGTGTCGCAGACACATCGAGGTAATGCTGCAGCACTCTCAGTGTGGTTATTTATTGTCTTTAATTGAATAAAGGGTCTAAAACTTTAAAATTAGGAGCCTCGTTCTAAGATGATAAAAGATGCATATTTGTTTTCCAGTCCCTCCGTCTGCAGCTGATGTTTTATTGGCTCCACTGTTGGAGCTGGTAATCGACTGTTGAAATCAACTGTATTTCGTTGCTCCTACAGGATGAGACCATCATCCGGAACTTTTTGGACACGACACTGTGCTCTCGTCTGGGAATCCGTATGTTGGCCACGCACCACCTCGCCCTGCATGAAGATAATGTATGTCTGATGGTCAAACTGGTTTTAGTTGTGCATTCAGAGTCCAGCATATAGCGTCTTTAGTAAAGGCTTGAATTTAAAACCGTGACATTTCCCTGTTCTCTGTGTAAGTCGATTTTTGGCCACGGACGGTACAATGTAACTGACGTGGGTTTTAAACCAAAGAGTTACTCAAAGGATTGTCAAAAGTTCTACCAGATCAACCAAACGGATGAGACCAGATTGTGTTGGTGTGCTCAGGTTTTGATTTGAACTGTATCCTATTCATTTACAGATCCAAATATTATGTTAAGGGACCGTCAAAGAAGCTGAAATATAGTAGAAAATACCGTCTTTAAAAAACAAACTACCAGCAACAGACTCGAGTCGTTGGTCAGTTTATTTGTTCAATTGTCCAACTCTGAACACCTAATTGGAAAAAAAAAAAAAAAATTAATTTTGTTAACTGTTTTGTTTAAGTTCACTAAATCTTTTTACTGGGCTGCTATTATTAAATTCACTGTTGGATATTCTCAAGTATTTTTGAAACATTTTTATGACTAAAAAGACTTTTTGTTTTTGTTTCAGCCTGATTTCGTTGGCATCATATGCAGACGTCTGTCTCCGAAGAAGATCATAGAGAAATGGGTGGACTTCGCCAGGTGAGCGTTTCGTCTGCAGGAGATTTCTTTACTGACTTCCTGCTCCTGGTCGAGCTCCATCTTGACAGCGGCGTGTCAGAGTTCAGCTGATAAGCGCTCGGAAACACGCGTTTGAGTGGCTGGAGCTGTGAAGGCGATACGAGTTATCACTAACTTACTTCCTGATGTTTAATCAAAAGACTTGTGTGTGGAGTTGATTAGTTTTGTCAAGTTTAAAGACGAGGAGCGGAGCATGGAGCAGTGGGGAGTGTCCGCTGCGAGCGGCGTAACTTCAAGTTGAAACGATTCGTTTATTTGCTCTGGTTTAAGGTTTCCCGTCAGGTCCAGGTTGTAATTTCAGATAATTGAGTTTAAAATAAAACTGACAGAATAACCGTTGTGTCCGTCACTCTGAGCTGTGCTTGAATTCCCTCCGTTGTCACTTTTATTATTGTTTAACAACTATTCATCTGGATGGGAAGGTCTTAAAAATAAAATAACCCGTTTGATTAAAACATTTAAAAGTATAGAGGTTTGAAAGAATGATTTATGAAAGTACAGCCCGAAGATGTCTAGCTTTACAATTTGAAAGAATGCTTAGAAATGTTTTCTAGCTCCTATTTTAGAGACCGTTAAACTTTATATTTAGTTGTAACGCTGTTGCATTTTAATAAGCACCTAAAAGTATTAAAGTTGCTGTGAATTTATGAGTTTTACAATATTCAATATTTGTATTGTGTAGTACTGCAACAAAGGGACACATTATTGTAAAAAACAAAAGACAGGCTGAATTATTTGTATATTTATTTCAGTTTTTAACCCTATTCAAAAATTTAAAATGCGTCAAAATAATAAAATAGTATGAGTTAATAGGATTAAAATGAGCTTTTATTTAATTTAATTTTTTCACATTTTTGCTCTTTGTATATTCTTTTTATTTTTTTTATTAGAAAAAAAGATGCTTGTCAGCTTTTTAAGAAGTTTAATCAGACAAATTTAAAAACAGCACAACTTCTTATTCTTATAAAAATGATCAAGAGTCTGTTTAGTTTTTGCTTCTTAATTGAATAAAACGGCTCTTTCTTCTTCTTCTCTGTAAATTTGGTTAAAAATGTCCAAAAGGCTGGAAACATTTCAGATTCCTCCATCACGCACGAGAGCCTTTCAAATTAAAACTTCCCTTCTGGTTGATGTAATGTTTCAAGCTGTGTCGGCGTGCACGTTTAGTAAAATCTTGGTTGTATTCAGACTCTACGTGATGACTAATCTGCCTGGTGCCCAACAGACGTCTGTGTGACCATCAGTACGGCAACTCTCCGAGGGTGAGGATTAACGGACACGTGGCGGCTCGTTTCCCCTTCATCCCGCTGCCTCTGGATTACATCCTGCCAGAGCTCCTGAAGAACGCCATGAGGTCCGAAAACGCACACCAAGATGTTTCTTTGTCTCGTTTCAGAGCCCGTTGAGTTCACACATCCACATGTGGAGCTCCAAACTAACATCAAATAAAAAAAATAAACGTTTCTTTATTTGTTCTTCTGGATGTCTCTTCAGAGCGACTATGGAAAGCCACCTGGACACCCCCTACAACGTGCCTGATGTCGTCGTCACCATCGCCAACAACGACATCGACTTTGTCATTAGGTGAGCTGCTAAATATTTGCTTTAAAGGTAACGTCGTGCCACCAGTCAGGTAGCAGAACCAGTCAGCTGACACCAGATGGAAGCTACTGCGTCTTCGGCTTACCAGTTTCATTGGGGGGGGGGGGGGGGGGGGGGGGGGGGGTCGGTACTTAACGG